CTCCTCCTCCTCTTCTTCCTCCTCCTCCTCCTCCTCCTCTCCTCCTCCTCCTCCTCCTCCTCCTCCTCCTCCTCCTCCTCTCCTCCTCCTCCTCCTCCTCCTCCCATCATCATCATCATCATCATCATCATCATCATCATCATCTCATCATCATCATCATCACATCATCATCACCAACCCACCTCCCCTCCCTCGGTTCCTCTCCCCCCACTTTCTCCACCCACTTTCTCCCCCTCCTCCCCCTCCAAAGCCGCGACGAACTCTGCTGCCAACGTCTGCGCCAAGTGCTACGACCGCAAGACCACGCACTATCAAGCCAAGACGGTCTACGAGACACACACATACACACTCACACACACACACACACACACCGGCTGGAAACGGCCGGGACCGACCTACGATCGCGGAGGCGTGCGACAGACTGCCGCGCGCCAGTTGGCGTACACCGCGCGCAAGGGGGGGCAGCCTCCCGCCAAGGATGTCGCCATCCTTCTGGCCTCCCGCCAAGGATATCGCGTACAGCAGGGGCGGTGAGAAGAACAAATGTCAGCAGAGGGCAGGGGGCCCGGCGCCCCTTTGCCGCCTGCCTGTCCGCCCAGCACCTGGACGCACAACTGCGAGCCCGCCGCGCACTTCGGCTGCGATAACCTTCCTGGTGACACCCAGGCCGACGTTGCCCAAGAGGCCGCTCACCCCCAACCATTGCGAGGGCGTCTTCAGCTTGCGGAGAGAAGCACCCATCTTCGCCCCGTACCTCGACCTGCAGATCCCGCCGCCCTACCTTCCCGCCGCTGGGAGCCATGGACACGCTGGGGGCCCTGGACACGCAGGAAGCCCTGGACACGCTGGGGGCCCTCAACACGCTGGGAATCCTGGACGCGCTAAGGGCCTGCACCAACCTGGAAGCCCTCAGCACGCTGCAAGCCCTCGGCACGCTGAGAACCCTGGACGCGCTGGGGGCCCTGTCCACGCAGGGAGCCCTGGACACGCTGGAGGCACTGGCCACGCTGGGAGCCCTTGACCCGCTGGGAGCCACGTGCACGCTGGGCGCCCTGGGCGCGCTGGGAGCCCTCCACAACGGCACCCTCTGCGGGCAGCCGCGAGGGCGGAGCCTCGCCGCAGCCCTCCCGTCGAGGACCCAGCGTGCACACCGCCGACGCCTACGCCGGCGACTACACCAGCGACTACGCCATCGACCCGGAGGAGGTGGCGGCGGCTGTCTGCGACGTCGGGTCGGAGGTGGAGGCCCGCGTCGTCGAGGAGAATGGGGGGACGAGGAGATGGAGGTGGATCATGGTAGAATTGTTTTTTGCCCGGACAGACCACCTGGACGACGCAACCCGACGGAAGGTGCCCAAGGTGCCTGCCTGAATTGACATGCAATCGGACCTCGCAACATGAATGGCAGCACAGACACGCCCCGGGCGTCACATCTGCTCCGCCGTTGCGAGGTGCCTCGAGACGCCACCCCGAGACACGGCGACCGGTGGATCATGGTAGAATGGCTGGACGGTTCTCCCGCACAGCCCTGGCATATCTTTCTCCAAGACCTCGAACACCAACTGGGGGACTAGAACGACGAGGGCGAACGGCACACCATCATCCAGTCCTGAGGCCTCATGTGGGACATGGGCGTGCAGCGTCGTTTCGACTCACTCTCGCCACACATTAGGAACCTGTACGCTGGCGCGCCTGGAGGACGCCAGCCACCCCCCTCTACTCGGTACACCCTCCTCTAGATTGTCACAGCAGCTCCTCGCCTCCCCCTCCTCGGACTCCGCCGTCTCCGCGGCCGTTCCCCGAGAGGCCCACTCGCCCATCTCGTCGCTGGCGCCGCTGGCCGAGAGGGATCGGAACTCGGGAGGGGGCGGGGGGGGAGGGAGCTAAACGAGGAGCATGGCCTTGGGGAGGAGGGGGGCTCAGGCCGCAGGCTGCCCGTGGCTGTTGCCAGGGTGGCCGTGGTCCCAGGACTTCGACGCAAGCCGTGGGAATCCCCAGCCGGCCCAGCAAGCAGCATGAGCCCACTCTCCTTGCCTGCACCACCGCACCTGCACAGCCAAGGCCGCCCACAATCGCAGGCCCGCATCTTAAGCCACATGCCAGCTCGCCAGAGCCACACACCCACGCCTCACTCTCACAATCATCCTCGTTCTCCCTCCTCCTGGGCTCCGCCATCTCCGCGGCCGTCCCCCAGGGGCCCCCGTCAACCCCTTTGCTCACCCGCGCCGCTGCCTGATAGAGGTCGGGACTCGGCATGCTGGACTGACGAGGAGGCGCCGGCACCATCGTGAGGAGGCAGCGAGCATCATCATCAGCACCAAGAGCATGACCATGATCATGATCATAATCATGATCATCATCATCATCATCATCATCATCATCATCATCATCATCATCATCATCATCATCATCATCATCATCATCATCATCATCATCATCATCATCATCATCACAATCATCATCATCGTCATCATCAGCAGCAGCATCAGCAGCATCAGCATCAGCATCAGCATCATCAGCATCATCATCACCAGCAGCAGCACCATCACCATCACCATCATCATCAGCATAAGCAGCATCATCAGCAGCAGCAGCAGCATCATCATCAACATCAACATAAACATCCACCTAAACAACAGCATTACCATCAGCATCACCATCATCAGCAGCACCATCATCCGCTCGATCAGCATCATCATCGTCATCAGCATCATCAGCATCAGCATCATCAGCATCATCAACATCAACCTGAACAACAGCATCATCAGCAGCATCAGCAGCATGATCAGCATCATCCTCATCATCAGCAGCATCATCAGCATCATCAGCATCATCATCACCATCATCATCATCATCATCAGCAGCATCATCCTCATCATCATCAGCATCATCAGCAGCATCATCATTATGCAGTATCGTGATGAGGGACTGTTGGACTGAGGAGGAGGCTGGACTGGCAGGTGCATCATTACCTGCACCCTCCGCCCCCGAGGGCCGACGGCCCCGAGGCCAGCCAGACATGGAGCTACTGACATCGCCTGTTAGCCCGCTCGCAGCCCTCTCGCCGTGGCATTCTCTCGAGCACTCGCCTGCGGACCGGCCCAAACAATGGCCAGTATGTCAAGCAACCTTTCTGGGCGAAAGCGTTGCCCGACATACCGCAGCGTGCTCCCACGCAGGACGAGATAGACCATCGCCAGCGCAAGCCAGTGTCACACCACTGCCTGCCGCCGCAACAGCCGTCACCTTCCCCCGTCCCCTTCACCGCTCATTCTTCACCCTGTCCCTCTCTCCTTGCCTCCACTCCCTCGTGCGCCAGGGCCTCGCGGGATGGGAGTCGGATGGAGACGGGCCCAGGAGGAGGAGGAGGAGGATGAGGAGAAGGAGGAGGAGGAGGAAGAGGAGGAGGGAGGAGGAGGAGGAGGAGGACGAGGAGGAGGAGGAGGAGGGGGAGGAGAGGAGGAGGAGGAGGAGGAGGGGAGCCCCGGCCACGGGCTGCCCCTGGCTGGGGCCCGGGCGGCCGTGGCCCCTGGGACCTCGACGCCGGCTGCGGGAACCCCCAGCAGGGCCAGCTGGCCGCCACCGCTGACCCCCGCATGCGCAGCGAGCAGCAGCACCCTCCTCGATCCTCCTCCTCGATCCTCCTCCCTCGATCCTCCTCCTCCTCCTCCTCCTCCTCCTCCTCCTCCTCCTCCTCCTCCTCCTCCTCCTCCCTCCTCCTCCTCCTGCTCTCCTCCTCCTCCTCCTCCTCCTCCCTCCTCCTCCTCCTCCTCCTCCTCCTCCTCCTCCTCCTCCTCCTCCTCCTCCCTGCTCCTCCTCGATCCTCCTCCTCTCCTCCTCCTCCTCCTCCTCCTCCTCCTCCTCTCTCCTCCTCCTCCTCCTCCTCATCCTCCTCCTCCTCCTCCTCCTCCTCCTCCTCCTCCTCCCTCCTCCTCGCCTCGCCCACTGCACTTGGCAGCACAGCCTCGACCGACCACAGTCGCAGGGCCACAGTCGCAGGGCCCGCATTCAAGGCCACATGCCAGCGCGCTGGAGCCACTCACCCGCGCCGCGCCTCTTCCGCAGGCGCACCCATGGCAACACAGGGCTGGTGCTGAGCCCCCCAAAAAACTACGCCGAGTTTCGTAAGAAGCGTCGGGGGGGCGTCACCCCCGCCGACAGCCCCACATCGACCCCCGTCGCGGGCAGCCACCGCGCGCCGAAGACGCTGCGACCCCCGTCGCGGCGCTACAACGAGGCGAGGCTGACCCTCGTCGGAGGGGGTATCCCCCCACGCTCATCAAGAAACCCAGAGTACAACAGGCACCGAGACCGAACGGAGACTGGCGCGTACACTGCCAACAACCCGATGTGAGGGAGGAGGAGGAGGAGGAGGAGGAGGAGGAGGAGGAGGAGGAGGAGGAGGACGGGGACGAGGACGAGGACGAGGAGGACGAGGAGGAGTAGGAAGATTAGGATGAGGAGGAGCAATAACACACTTACACGCGCGCGCTCCCCCCGAGCCCCCATCAAGCTCTCGCGCGGATGGGAGAGGATGAAGAGGGGTGGGCCGCGCGAAGGTCGCAGCCCCAGATGGGAACTGAAGGTCCGCAACTCGAAGCTCGAAGCAGGAGCAAGAGGAGGAGGAGCAAGAGGGGGAGGAGGCTGAGGAGGAGGAGGAGGCAGAGGAGAATGAGAAGGAGGAGGAGAAGGAGTGGGAGGAGGAGGAGGAGAAGGAGGAGGAGGAGGAAGAGGAGGAGGAGGAGGAGGACGACGCCGAAGACGAGGAGGAGGAGGAGCAACGTGAGGAGGAGGAGGAGGAGGAGGGGGAGGAGGAGGAGGAGGAGGAGGAGGAGGAGGAGGAGGAGCAAGAGGAGGATGAGGAGGAGGAGGAGGAAAAGGACGAGGAGGGGGCGGAGGAGGAGGAGGAGGAGGAGGAAGAGGAAGAGGAAGAGAAGAAAGAGGAGGAGGAGGAGGAGGAGGAGGAGGAGCCCGCGCGGCGCCCTCCCCGCGCGTGTGGCCTGGGGCGGCGACGGCGGGCTCGGGGCGTGCTCCGACACCCACGGGTGGCGCCGCGCCTCCTGCGCGAATGAAAGGAGGCGGCCGGTTGCGCCCTCTGGCACGACGACGACGACGACGACGACGATGATGACGTCGACGACGGGGGCGGCGGCGACCACGACGATGACGACGATGACGTCGGCCACGACGACAACGACGACGACGACGACGACGACGACGACGACGACGACGACGACGACGACGACGACGGCGGCGGCGGCGGCGGCGACGACGACGGCGACGACGACGACGACGACGGCGACGGCGACGACGACGACCATCTTGCGAACATGTGATCCCAACAGCAGTGTTGACCTTGCACCCGCCCGCTAAGTCTATGACCCAAACCCCGTTTGAAGGGGCTTCTTTTCATGCCGGCCCGTGGGGCAAGCATTCTGAAGTGCACTCTGTATGCGCACCCCGCCGCGATGGCCGCAATGCGAGAAAACGCGCCCGCGGAATCAAGTGGCACGCGTGCCCTGGCTCTTGCACATTTGCAGGAAGGAGGAGGCGCAGGCGGGGGGATCAAGGAGACAAGGAGGAGGAGGAGGAGAAGGAGGAGGAGGAGGACGAGGAGGAGGAGGAGAGGAGGAGGAGGAGGGGGAGGAGGAGGAGGAGGGGCAGGTGGGGCCAGGGCGCCCCGGTGCTCAATCAGCGGCTGTCGATTGGGACCTGCTCGAATGAGTTTTTGTTGACAGCTGAGGCGCAATAGATTTTTCGAGGCTGGCCCAGGGCGGGAGGCTGGGTCCAGGGACAGGGCCAGCGGGCGACGGGGGCTGGGGCCAGGACCACGGGGGCAGGCTGGGTCCAGTGCCAAGACAAAGGGGGGCAGGGGGGGCTGGGGCCAGGTCCAGGGGTGGAGGCTGGCTCCAGGGCCAGGACCAGGACAGGGGGACGACGACAAACAAAAATAAAGGGTCCGGCGCGAGGGGGGCTGGGGCTAGGGCCAGGGGAGGAGGCTGGGCCCAGTGCCAGAGCCAGGGGTGCGACGACGAGCGAAAATGAAGGGTCCAGGGCGAGGGGGGCTGGGGCCACGGCCAGGGGAGAACGCTGGGTCCAAGGACAGGACCAGGGGGGCGACGACGAGGAGGGCTGGGGCTAGGACCAGGGTAGGAGGTGGTTCGAGGGCCAGGACAAGGGGGACAATGACGTACAAAAATAAAGGGTCCGGCGCAAGGGGGGCTGGGGCCAGGGCCAGGTCAGGAGGCTGGGTCCAGGGCCAGGGCCAGCGGGGCAAGGGGGGCTAGGGCCAAAACCAAGGGGGGAGATTGGGTCCAGTGCCAGGACCAGGGGGACGACGACGACGAGGGGGGCTGGGGCCAGGACCCAGGGGGGAGGCTGGGTCCAAGGCCAGGACCAGGGGAACGACGACGAACCGAAATAAAGGGTCCGGCGCGAGGGCTGGATCCAGGGCCATGGCCAGCGGGGCGAGGGGGGCTGGGGCCAAAACCAAAGGGGGAGGTTGGGGCTGGGGCGAGGACCAAGGGGGGAGGCTTGGTCCAAGGCCGGGACCAGGGGGACGACGAGGAACAAAAATAAAGGGTCCGGCGCAAGGGGGGCTGGGGCCAGGGCCAGGGGAGGAGGCTGGATCCAGGGCCATGGCCAGCGGGGCGAGGGGGGCTGGGGCCAAAACCAAGGGGGGAGGTTGGGCCCAGGGTCAGGACCAGGGGGACGACGACGAGGGGGGCTGGGGCCAGGACCAAGGGGGGAGGCTTGGTCCAAGGCCGGGACCGGGGGGACGACGAGGAACAAAAATAAAGGGTCCGGCGCAAGGGAGGCTGGGGCCAGGGCCAGGCGAGGAGGCTGGGCCCCAGGGCCAGGGCCAGCGGGGCGAGGGGGGCCGAGGCCAGGACCATGGGGGGAGGTCGGGTCCAGGGCCAGGACCAGAGGGACGACGAACGAAAATGAAGAGTTCCGAGCTCTAGAACACAACTGCGCAAGATGATGAAGGGGCTGGGGCGGAGGGAGCGCTATGACTGGCGGGTGCGGGGATGCGGAGGGGGCGCGCGGGATGGGAGGGGGAACGGTACCGTGCCGAAATCAAAGGGTCGGGGCAGAGGGGACGCGCTGGCTGGTGCGCGGGGGGATGCAGAGGGGGCGCTCGATGGAGGGGGTGGCGCCGTCCCCCTGCGGAAGACCAGCGGCAGGCAGGCCGCGGCCGCGCGCCTCGCCGAGAGCCCGCGCCGGCACGCGGGAAGCGCACTGCGAGCGGCTGCACGCGCTGCGAGCCCCGCGGCCCGCAGCGCCGGAGGCGCACAGCAGGCCCACCTCCGCGGTGGCGTCGACGACGGACGCAGGGACGAGCGCGGGCGCCCTCGCTGGCGGCAGCAGCAGCGAAGCGGGCAGTCGCCGAAGGCCCGCGGAGCAGGCGGGGCGGCCGCGCCCGGCGATCCGAGCGCGAGCCGCACCAGCTCGTGGGGTGAAGGAGGGCGGAGCAGGAGGCAGGAGGGAGGAGCGAGGAGGAGGGAGGAGGGAGGAGCGAGGAGGAGGGAGGGAGGAGCGAGGAGGAGGGAGGAGAGAGAAACAGCATACCCCATTCTCAGCAGCCCCCAACGCTGCACGCAGCTGCCCACAGTTATCCATCGCAGCTTCTGGCAGATCCCTCGCAACCTCGCCCGTGCGAGGCCACACGCGCGCATGTGTCAAAATCCGCCCACCATCATGCGTTGCCAACGAAGTTCGATCAACTACCAACAACAAATCTTCAATAGAAATGCGAGATTTGTGTGCGCGCACTCGCTCGAACCATGCAGCCCCGAAGGTGTTTGGCAATTCTGCGACATCAGGCCACGCTGCGGGCCACACGCGCGCACACGTGTCGAAAGCGGTCACCCATCGTCGCGGACGCGCCAAATCTGTCAACATGGTGCGGGCCACCTGCGCGCGCCCCCGCGCTCACATGACTAGATCACTCCAGCATCAAGTGCCTACTGCTCAGATCAACAAGCCGGTGATCAATCACGCATGCGTGCGTCAATTACTTTCCCAACAAGGTCCGGGATCCTGTGCGAGCAATTCCTCATCATCCTCATCATCAGCAGCACTGCAAGCATCGTCGTCAGCGTCGTCATTGCCATCGTCATCACAAATCACACCACATCATCACCATCACCATCGTCCATCGTCATCATGGCCACCGTCGTCATCATCGTCATTGTCGTCGCCCTAACCATCATCGCCACCACCATCACCATCATCATCCCCATCGTCGTCGTCACAGATGTGGTCGTCAGCATCTTCACTCGCGCGCCCGAGTCCTGGATCTGCATGGTAAGGATCCTCGAGTCAGTGTGCCAGCTGAATTGGAGCTCGAGACCCCAAGTTCTTCACATATTTAATGTAACGCACAAGTGTGCATGTACTACAGACACGCATGTGCACAAATAGATACATATGTATGCACATCCGTACATGCATTCATACATGCATCCGTCAACACAAACATATATACACACATATATACACATACGTACATACAAGCATAGACATTTAAATTCACATATACATACGCATGTACGTATACATAACCGTATGTATATGTATACACATACATGTTTAAAGGGCGCGCCGCTGGATCTCCCAAAGGGGGGGGGAACCCCTTCCCCCCCCCGTTCCCCGATCCGTCGTCGGGGACCCCCCCCCCCCCTCCCTCCCTTTCCCGGTCCGTCGTCGGGGACCCCTCCCCCCCTTTTTCCCCCCTTCCCCCTTTTCCGTCCGTCGTCGGGGACCCCCCCCCCCTTCCCCCCTTTTCAAGAGGGGGGGGGTTCTAGACCCCTTCCCCCTCCCCCCCTTGGCGCTGGAAACGGGGGGGGCGGTTCGAACCCCCCCCTCCCCTCCCCCCCTTTCGCCACGGCGCCCCCTGGCTCTGGAACCCGACCCCTACCAACCCGAACCCTACCACCCCGACCACCCGTTACCCTAACCCCAAACCCTAGGCCTGGCCCCAAACAGCACTCAGCACTCATTCTTCAGCACTCACCACCCACTGCTCACTTCTCACTACCCACTGCTCACTACTCACGACTCACTACTCACTACACACTACTCACTACCCACTACACACTACTCACTACTCGCTACTCACCAGTCACTACTTCCAAGTCACTACTCACTACTCACTACTCACTACTCACTACCCACTATTAAGTACTCACTACTCATTAAACATTACTCACTACCCACTACTCACTACTCATTAATCACTACTCACTACCCACCAACCACTACCCACGACTCAGTACTGAGTACTCGTCACAATTCGCTAGTCACTACTCATTACTCACTACCCAGTACTCACTACCCACTACCCACTACTTACTACTACTCACTACTCACTACTCTCAACTCACTACTCACTAAGAACTACTCACTACTCACTACTCACTACTCAGTACTCACTACTCACTAAACACTACTCGCTACCAACTACGCACTACTCGTTAATCACTACTCACTACCCACTAACCAGTATCCACTACTCACTAGTGAGTACTCACAATTCACTACTCACAAACCACTGCCCACAACTCATTACTCACTATCCGCTGCTCGTTACTCGTTAACCCCTACTCCCTACACAGTACTCACTGCTCACTACTCACTACTCACTACTCGCTACTCCCTACTCGCTACTCGCTATGCGATACGCAAAGTTCACTACCAACTACGCACCACTCACTACTCTCGTCTCACTACTCCCTACTCCCTACTCGCTACTCACTAGGCACTAGCTACTAGTCACAAGTCACTACTCACTTTCAGTATTCACTTCTCACTACTCACGACTCACTACTCACTACCCACTACTCTCTAGACCCTACTCCCTACGCACTACGCACTACACACTACCCACTTCGCACTTCCCACTACTCACTACTCACTACTCCCTACTCACGAACCACTACTCACTATTCATTACTCACTACTCGCTACCCCCTACTTGCTACTCACTACTCTCTACGCACTACTCACTACTGATTACGCCCTCCTCACTACTCACTGCTCTGTATGTCCTACTCGCTACTCGCTAGTCACTACTCGCTACTCCCTACTCGCTACTTGCTACTCACTACCCACTTCCCACTGCCCACCACTCAATACACACTACTCACTACTCAGTGCGCACTACTCACTACTCACTACTCACTCCTCGCTACTCGCTACTATCTACTCAGTGCTCACCATGCACTACTCACTACTCACTACTCACTACTATCTACTTACTACTCACTACTTGCGGGAGAGGCGGGAGAGGCCCCCTCCCCGGCCCCCTGTTCGGCGCAAAGGGGGGGAGGGGGCGGGAGGCTCGAAACCTCAACCCCCCTTTCCAGCGCCGAGGGGGGGAGGGGGGGGGGTCCGGACCCCCCTTCTTCAAGGGTGGGAGGGGAAGGGTGGGGTCGGACCCCCCCCTTTAAGGGGGACAGGGCCCCCCTTCTTCAAGGGTGGGGGGGAAGGGGGGGTTCGGACCCCCCCCCCTTTAAGAGGGGAAGGGGGGGGGGTCGAAAATCCCACCCCCCCTTTGAAGGGGGGAGAGGGGGGGGAGGGTCTGCGAGCACCCACCCCCTTTTCAATTACAGGGTGATCCAGTGGCGCGCTTTCACATCTTGATACATACGTATCTGTGCATAACCATACATGTGAGCCCATACACATGCATATACGAAAACATAAACATTTACGTATGCAAATACATATGCATACACATATACACGTGCGCAGCTAGGCACATACATATACACAAACACATACATTAGCATACACATCGAAATATACACCTGCATATGTATCTACATCTACAAATCCAGAGACATATATACACGTACACGGATTGTATTGTATATACATGTATTGCACATGTAATTAAACATAGACATAGAAATGTACATATGCATGTGTACATGCATACATATATAAATATAGTTCAGTCTGCACATATACATAACAGTGTACATGTACATATACCTGGCCATATACATAGATGCATGCAAATACATATGCATATAAACTTATGTACATGCATGTACTCAGGTATACACGAACAAAAGCTGCCCATAGATATAAACCCATACATATATATACACATACATATATGCATACACACATGTATATACATATACATTTATAAATACATGTACGTATACACATACATGTACCTATACATGTGTGCATGTACATATACACACATATAACGATACGTATATATATATGTGTGCATATGCACATGCACTTGCATGGATACACAGGCCGAACAGATATTTGATCACATATTGTACACCGGGCGTGTTGCACCGCGTAGAATGCCGAGCGTGTCCTGCATCGGAAAAACTGCCCTACACATGTTGCGCCGCACACAGATACACAGATAGCATCACCACGTGGGATGCGCCAGGTGGGCTACACAACGAGAATACGATCACCTGCTGATTGAGGTCCACGCTGGTCAATGCACGCTTCCCCGTTGCGGGGCCTCGACGCCTCCCGAAACCTCCTCCCCCGTTCCTCTGCCGCCTCCCCCTCCCTCCCCCCCTCCTCCTGCTTCTGGCCCCTTTCCCCCTCCACCCTCTGGGAACCGCCCCCCCCCACCCCACCTTGCCCTTCCTCGTCATCCTCCCCCTCCGATCCCCGCCGGGCCAGACCTGGGCCCAGGGTCGGTGCACGCACGCCTCCCGGCGGGGCCCGGAGGGCGCCCACGCCGCTCCTGGGCCCGGGGCGGGCCGGCCCAGGATCGGTCTTGGCGCGCAGTGGGCGTCCCCGGGACTCCTGGAGGCTCAGGCGCTGGTGGGTGTCCTTGACGAGGATCCTCGAGCGCAGGCGCGCCAAGAGGAGGTCCAGTGCCCATGGAGGGGGCGGCGGGCGGGCGGGGAGAGGGAGAACAGGACCTGGGGGGGGACGGGGGGCGCCTGTGAGGAGGAGAACTTGTTCTGCCGCTGGGCAAACACACATACACACATGTATGTGTATATATATATATGTATACACACACGCGCTGCTTGAACAAAAACGCGCGCTCTCCAGCAAGGGAGGGCGGCCGACTGAGAAGGAAAAACGCGCGGCCGACGAGAGCGCCCAGGCTGCGCTCTCGGCCACCGGAAACACGAGCCAAAACAGACCAAAAAAATTCGCCGACGACCCCCGAGGACAGCCCGAGGACTGGGTGCCCCCTCCTGGGCGCGGGCCCCAGGAGAAGCCGGAGCAGAAGAGACACCGAAAACGCAAGGACTCCGAAAGGAAGAAAACTCGCACGGACACCGAGAGAGAGAGGGGGGGGAGAGAAACGGTCCAGAGCACCCCCAAGGCATGACGCCCCCGGGGGGTGAGCTTGCTCGGGCGGCCCGGGAGGCAATCGAGACGGCGATGGAGAAAGAGGCGGGAGAACTGGAGAACTGGAGCGGACGGCGCAGCGATCCATCAAACATGTCAGGTCTAACATGTCAAATCTCTGCTGCTGGCGGAGGGGGGAG